TGTGTGTGTGTGTGTGTGTGTGTGTGTGTGTGTGTGATTTCAGATGAAGCTCTGCTTGTGTGTGTTTTTGTTGGATAACAAGGGTTTTTTATTTCTCCGATCAACAGATGTGAAGTTTAACACGGCCGATTAACAACAACCACGTTTTTGTTTTTCTAAACACTTTGTACATAGAACAACACCAAGTAGTTGACCAAACCAGGGCTAAATCATAACACAAGTTGGTAATGGACACTAGATGCACTAAGTAATGGACCAAACCATGGCAAAATACTCAAAGATATTTGACAAAACAACAGAATATCTGACCAGACCAGGGCTAAATCACCAGAGAATATGTGGTCACCAAACCAAGGTGTACCGGGCTAACCAGGGCTAAAACAAAGCAGAATAATGAACCAAACAGATAATATGCAAACAAAACCCAGAGCTAAAGCTCCACCAAATATTGGACCAAACCACGTTTAAAAACCATTAAAAGAAATGGACCAAATCAGGGCCATCAAAGACATTGTTTTGGACCGAACCAGGACTTAAACACCATAGAGTATTGGACCCCAAAAGGGCTAAATCATTGGATCTAATCAGGGCTATAACACCAGTGAATACTAGACTAAACCAATGCAAAACCAGGGCTAAAACACCATTAACTAATTGACCAAACCAGGGCTCAAATACTACAGAATATAAGGACCCCAATTATACTATAGAACCAGAGATCAACACCAATGAATACCGGACAACACTGCTGATTGTTAGACTTAACCAGCGCTAAAAAGAAACACGAAACACCACCAGAGTATTGGATTAAAACACAACCAATAGTGGACAAAATCAGGGTTAAGCACTTCAGTATATTGTAATAGAACTGGACTGAACACCAATGAGGCCTGAAGCAAACAAGGGCTACAGCCATACACAAAGTTGGATCAAACAAGGGCTGTAAATAGGATGAAAATGAGGCTAAATCTGAGCTAAAAACACCACAGACCACTGAGCTATAGCAAAGTATTGGACTGGTGTTCTCTGCTTCTTAATTTCGTGTTAATGCGTTAACTGTGTTCTGCCTCCTTTTCGCCCTCTAGTGTTGAATCAGGACTTCCTGCAGCTTTAAGGCAGCTCAGTCCCTATGGACATATTCTGTGTGTTTCAGTATGTGCTGTGTCAGCATTCAGCAACATGAATAGATCCACTATAGAGCCTGCATGAACACACACACCTTTTACCAACACCAGGTGTGTTTTCAGTCAGTCAACATGCAGGAGAGAAGAGGAGGAGAGGAGGAAGAGGAGAGAGGAGGAAGAGGAGGAGGAGGATAAGGAGGTGTAATAGCAGTAAATCCACAAAAACATTTTTCTCTTCTCTCTCATGGAAACTGCAGCTGAGAAAACACTGCTGCAAATTAGTAGGCAGGAACTACTGGAAACATGCCTACACACACACACACACACACACACACACACACACACACACACACAGTTTCCTGCTGTGTTGAATGTACTGAACAGTTTTTGGCCTTTTTGTTTTTTATTTTTGTCTCCATTGTTTGTATTTACTCTATGAAGTAAAACGGGAGGACACTGTATACTGGACTTGTTACTGAGAGAAACACACACACACACACACACACACACACACACACACACACACACACACACACACACACACACACACACACACACACAGTTACTCAACCCGTGTTATTAAGATGTATTTCAGCCTAAATTTAGACTCATTTTATTTCCAGGTTTGTCCCATATTTGTTACGGGTTATTATGAAGAATACATGTAACCCATTATGTATGTTTCCCCAGGGCATAATAAATTCAAATTTAGCAAAATAATCTCCTACATGTGGATTTTCTATGTTATTATACCTCAAATGATTATTTATTGATCACTTAAATGAAATGGGATGCACCACATAAGTGGACATTATTACTTACAACCAGTGTTAAGTTTCCCAGAGCTTATAAAGCAAAATTATAAAATAGCATGCTAATATATTAGAGACATTTAGGAATATCATTGACACATCTGAAAAGACAGTTTATTATCAAGAGGGTTTTCAGGTTTCCATGGCTGCAGTTTTGTTACGATTGACACAAAGCTAAGGACCCAAATGCAAGACACCAGAACCAGGTCAAGATTAACAAAGTATTTTAATCAAAGGTAAACAAATACAAGAAAAACACAAAACTCTCTCTTGAGGATCAAAAACGGAGAAACTTGACGATCAAAAACAAAAAAACTTGGGGATAAAAAACTTAAAAACTTGGGGAGGGAAAACGGAGAAACTTGATGATCAAAAATTTGGGATCAAAAACAGAGAAACTTGGGGTTTAAAAAATGAGAAACTTGGAGATCAAAAATTGAGAAACCTCAAGATCAAAAACGGAGAAACTTGGATCAAAAACTGAGAAACTTGGAGATCAAAAACTGAGAAACTTAAGGATAAAAAATTGGGGAACAAAAACAGAGAAACTTGGGGATCAAAAACTGAGAAACTTGGGGATCAAAAATGGAGAAACCTCAAGATCAAAAACTAAGAAACTTGACGATCAAAAATAAAAAAACTTGGGGATAAAAAACTTAAAAACTTGGGGAGGGAAAACGGAGAAACTTGATGATCAAAAATTGGGGATCAAAAACAGAGAAATTTGAGGATAAAAAACTGAGAAACTTGGATCAAAAACTGAGAAACCTCAAGATCAAAAACGGAGAAACTTGAGGGTCAAAAACTGAGAAACTTGGATCAAAAACTGAGAAACTTGAGGATCAAAAACTGAGAAACTTGAGGATCAAAAACTGAGAAACTTGGGGATCAAAAACTGAGAAACCTCAAGATCAAAAACGGAGAAACTTGGATCAAGAACTGAGAAGCTTGGGGATCAAAAACGGAGAAACTTGATGAACAAAAATTGGGGATCAAAAACAGAGAAACTTGGGGTTTAAAAATGGAGAAACCTCAAGATCAAAAACTAAGAAACTTGGGGATCAAAAACTAAGAAACTTGGGGATCAAAAACTAAGAAACTTGGGGGGGGGAAACGGAGAAACTTGAGGATGAAAAATTGGGGATCAAAAACAGAGAAACTTGAGAATAAAAAACTAAGAAACTTTGGGATCAAAAATGGAGAAACTTGGATCAAAATCTGAGAAACTTGGAGATCAAAAACGGTGAGATTGGGGATCAAAAGCTTAAAAACTTGCGGATCAAAAACTTAAAAACTTGCGGATCAAAAACGGAGAAACTTGGGGAAGTTTACAGGAAAAAAGACGGTGAACTTAGATCTTAAAGATAAGAACAACACAGAAACAGAGCATGTGGTATAAATTCATTTTAATGGTTCAAACTTCTGCAAAGACTCCAGAGTGTTAGTATAGTATACTGATACAAGTAGAGCACTGACTGTTGACTGCAGGAACTGTTATATAAAAAACATTTGAATATGAATCCTTGTTTGTTACAGAGCTAATTCATACCGTCTGTAATTATGCAATCATCCCACCTCTCCTACCTCCTTTATCTTCTGCTAGTAGCCTATTATGCATTTGGTGTGTGCTACTATTTGTTGTTTGTTTACATTTGAGTGAAGAAGAAGATGGAGTTCCTGTAACGCTAGAGCAAAGACAAGCCTTGTAAATGTTTAAAAAAGTGCTAGGTTTGCATATTTACTCAATGATTGCCAACGATTTCATGCCAGAGATCAGTAAAGTTATGGTCTCTCTTATAGTCCAACATGTCCAAATGGCTTTAAATGTCCGCCTTCCCCATCAGCATGGCAACATGGTAAAAATCAGGGTTATTATGGACTGTGACCACGGAGAGCCGCCACTGAATTATTATTGTTTACCAAAAAAGTGTCATGTACATACTTCATGGCTGTGCGTAGGGTTAGTACTACAGCTTAAAGCTTCACCCCCCCTCTTGTCTTTATTGAGTGCTTTAAGAGTACACACTCACACACACACCAACGTTCACACACAAATTCACACATAAATGCACACATACATTTTGCATACGATCAAAAAAACACAGGCTTAATAATGTTTGTGCAAAAAAAATTATAAATGAAAAAAAATTAAGACTCCAAACTGTCTGATAGATGCAGAGATGAACTACATTCAGCTACAACAGCCTGGGATAGTGCAATATCTACACACACACACATGATCACACACACACACACACACACACACACACACACACACACACACACACACACACACACACACACACACACACACACACACACACACACACACACACACACACACACACACACACACACACA